AAAAGAGAATCGAACTGTCTAATCATTCTACAAGCCACACGTTTTGTACCAGAGAACCTTGCCATTTAGATAAGGCACATTCAATAATTTTAGTAAAAGCGTGAATAGTGGACACAACAACAAAAACATTTTTATTGCAATTTTCTCACCATGGTACACATACCAAACCCTAAACAATTCTATAAAGGTCAGACTCTATGCTTTATCCTATTACAAAGCAAGGCGGACCCGGAAAACCTTGATTTATTTTGACACACAGGGCTCTAATCCTCCCCACCCCAACTTCTTGTTCTCCTAATAGTGCATAACCCATAAAAAAAAACTTGAACATTGTTTTATCAAGTAACCAAAAAGCATCAACTTATTGAATCATTCTACAAGCCTTCCATTGTACCATAGAAACTTGCCGTTTAGATAACGCACATCCAATAATTTTAGCAAAAGCGTGAAATTTGGACAGGACGACAAAAAAGAATTTTATTGCTATTTTTCTCATCATGGTACACACACCAAACCCTAAACAATTCTAAAAATGTCAGACTCTATGTCCTGTCCTATTACAAAGCAAGGCGGACCCGGAAAATCATAACTTTTTAACACAAAAGGTCGCTAAGCCTCCCCATCCCAATATCTACTTCTCTTAATAGTGCATAACGCGCAAAAAAAATTTAAAAATTGTTTTTGTCAAGTAACCAAAAAGCATCAACTTATCTAATCATTCTACAGGCCACACATTGTATTAGAGAAACTTGCCATTTAGGTAACGCACATCCAATAATTTTAGCAAAGGCGTAAAATTTGACACGACGACAAAAAAAAATTATTTCCAATTTTCTCACCATGGTACACACACCAAACCCTAAACAATTCTAAAAACGTCAGACTCTATGTCCTGTCCTATTACAAAGCAAGGCGGACCCGGAAAACTATAATTTTTTTAACACAAAGGGTCGCTAAGCCTCCCCATCCCAATATCAACTTCTCCTAATAGTGCATAACGCACAAAAAAAATTAAACATTTCTTTATCAAGTAACCAAAAGGCATCAAATCATCTAATCATTCTACCAGCCACACGTTGTACCACAGAACCTTGCCATTTAGATAAGGCCTACTCAATAATTTTAGCAAAAGCGTGAATATTGGACACAGTGACAAAAAGAATTTTATTGCATTTTTCTCACCATGGTACACATACCAAACCCTAAACAATTCTATAAAGGTCAGACTCTATGCACTATCCTATTACAAAGCGAGGCGGTCCCGGAAAACCTTGGTTTATTTTGACACACAGGGCGCTAATCCTCCCCACCCCAACATCTTATTCTCCTAATAGTGCATAACCCAGAAAAAAAACTTGAACATTGTTTTATCAACTAACCAAAAAGCATCAACTTATCTAATTATTCTACAAACCTTACATTGTACCATAGAAACTTGCCATTTAGGTAACGCACATCCAATAATTTTAGCAAAAGCGTGAAATTTGGACGGGACGACAAAACAAAATTTATTTCCAATTTTCTCACCATGGTACATACACAAAACCCTAACCAAATCTATAAAAGTCAGAGTCTATGTCCTGTCCTCTTACAAAGCAAGGCGGACCCGGAAAACTTTGATATATTTTAACACACAGGGCGCTAAGCCTCCCCACCTCAACAACTTGTTCTCCTAATAGTGCATAACCGACAAAAACTTAAGCATTGTTTTATCAGGTAACTAAAAAGCATCAACTCATCTAATCATTCTACGAGCCACACATTGTACAAAAGAAACTTGCCATTTAGATAACGCGTATCCAATAATTTTAGCAAAAGCGTGAAATTTGGACACGACAAAAAGAAAAGAATTTTATTGCCAATCTTCTCACCATGATACATACACAAAACCCTAACCAATTCTTTAAATGTCAGACTCTTTGTCCTGTCCTATTACAAGGCAGACCCGGAAAACTAAAGTTTTTTACACAAATGGTCGCTAAGCCTCCCGTCCACAAGCTCTGTTTCTCTTAATAGTCCATAACCCACAAAAAAAACTTAAACATTGTTTTATGAAGTAACCAAAAAGCATCAACTTATCTAATCATTCTACAAGCCACACAATATAAAATAGAGACTTGCCATTTAGATAACGCACATCCAATAATTTTAGTAGAAGCGTGAAGTTTGGACACGACGACAAAAAAGAATTTTATTGCCAATTTTCTCATCATGGTACATACACAAAACCCTAACCAATTCTATAAATGTCACACTCTGTGCACTATCCTATTACAAAGAAAGGCGGACTCGGAAAAATAAGATACATTTTAACACATAGGGTCCCTAAGCCTCATACACACCAAATCCTAACCGATTCTACAACTATCAGACTCTATGCCCTATCATATTACAAAAGAAGGCGGATCCAGAAATCTTTGATTTATTCTAACACACAGGGCGCTAAGCCTCCCCACCACAACATCTACTGCTCCTAATAGTGCAAAACCCACAAAAAAAAACATTGTTTTTTCAAGTAACAAAAAGCATCAACTTATCTAATCATTCTACAAGCCACACGTTGTAGCATAGTACCTTGCCATTTAGATAACTCACATCCAATAATTTTAGCAAAGGCGTGAAATTTGGACACGACGACAAAAAAAGAATTTTATTGCCAATTCTCTCACCATGGTACACACACCAAACCCTAACCAAATCTATAAATTTCAGACTCTATGCCCTTGCCTTTTATAAAGCAAGGCGGACCCAGAAAACTTCGATTTATTCTAACACACAGGGCGCTAAGCCTCCCCACTCCAATATATTCTTCTCCTAATAGTGCATAACCCAGAAGAAAACTTGAACATTGTTTTATCAAGTAACCAAAAAGCATCAAATTATCTAATCATTCTACAAGCCATACGTTGTACCATAGATCCTTGTCATTTAGATAAGGCATATCCAATAAATATAGCAAAAGCGTGAAATTTGGACACGACGACAAAAAGAATTTTATTGCAATTTTCTCACCATGGTACACATACCAAACCCTAAACAGTTCTATAAAGGTCAGACTCTATGCCTTATCCTTTTACAAAGCAAGGCGGACCCGGAAGACTTTGTTTTATTTTGACACACAGGGTGCTAAGCCTCCCACCCCAACATTTTCTTCTACTAATAGTGCATAACCCACAAAAAAAACCTAAACATTGTTTTTTCAAGTAAACAAAAAGCATCAACTTATCTAATCTTTCTACAAGCCACAGATTGTAACATAGAAACATGCCAATTAGATAACGCACATCCCTTGATTTTAGCAAAAGCGTGAAATTTGGACACGACGACAAAAAATAATTTAATTGCCGATTTTCTCACCATGGTACATACACAAAACCCTAACCAATTCCATAAATGTCAGACTCTATGCCCTATTCTAATACAAAAAAAGGCAGAAACGGAAAACTATGATATATTTTAACACATAGGGTACCTAAGCCTCCCACACCAAGCCCTAACTGATTCTATAACTTTCAGACTCTATGCCCTATCATATTACAAAGCAAGGAGGTCACGGAAAATTTTTTAACACAAAGGGTCGCTTAGCCTCACCATCACAACATCTACCTCTCCTAATAAGGTGGAGCCCACAAAAAAAATTTGAACATTATTTTATCAAGTAAACAAAAAGAATCAACTTATCTTATCATTCTACAAGCCACACGTGGTACCAAAGAAACTTGCCATTTAGATACTGCACATCCAATACTTTTAGCAAAAATTAGAAATTTGGACAGGACGACAAAAAAGATTTTTATTGCTATTTTTCTCACCATGGTTTGCAACCAAGCCCTAATCAGTTCTATGAAGGTCAGACTCTATGTCCTATCCTATTACAACGCAAGACACACCCGGAAGACTTTGATTTTTTTTAACACACAGGGCGCTAAGGCTCCTCACCCCAACATCTACTGCTCCTAATAGTACATAACCCACAAAAAAATTTAAACATTGTTTTATCAAGTAACCAAAAAGAATCAACTGATCTAATCAAGCTACAGGCCACACGTTGTACCAGAGAAGCTTACCATTTAGATAACGCACATCCAATAATATTATCAAAAAAGTGAAATTTGGACTAGACGAAAAAAATTTATTGCCAATTTTCTCACCATGGTACACACACAAAACTCTAACCAAATATATAAATGGCAGACTCTACACCCTATCCTATTACAAAGCAAGGCGAACCCGAAAACTTAGCCTACCCTTACCAACATCTACTTCTCCTAATAGTGCATAACCAACAAAAACAACTTAAGCAAGGTTTTATCAAGTAACCAAAAATCACCAACTTATCTAATCATTCTACAAGCCACACGTTGTACTCTAGAACCTTGCCATTTAGACAAGACACATTTAATTTTTTTTAGCAAAAACGTGAAAATTGGACACGACGGCAAAAAAGGTTTTTTATTGTCAATTTTCTCACCATAGTACATCAATCAAACCCCAATCAATTTTATAAATTTCAGACTCTATACTCTGTCCTATTACAAAGCAAGGCCCCCCGGGAAACTATATTTTATTTAACACATAGGATCACTAAGCCTCCCCAGCTCAACATCTACTTCTCCTAATAATTTAAAGCGAGAAACACAAATTCTCATTCATACAAAAATTAAGCCTTCTCTGTAACCTTTTCGCGGATTTTTTTCCTTTTTTTTCATTTTTGTAAGTTCGTTTGAAAGTCTCGGAAATCAGGAAAACAAATCCAGTCAGAAAATAAGTGGTCAGAAAGTAAGAAAAACTATAACTTAACTTGATTTTGTCGGTATTGAGTGATTGCTCAATTATTTGAAAATGAACTAAAACAAAATTGTCTACGTTTTTTATGTACACTCATTTTAGCTGCCAAGAATTTTGAAGTTTGAATTATATCGGGACACGAGAATTCTTTTCTACTGATAACTGCTTCTTTGTTGCATACTAAAAACTATAATTTTTTCAAAAAAATGCACCTCCAAACATTGAACTGATGGGCTTTATATGCGAAAGAGTGTAGACAGATCACTTTTTCCTCTAGCTCTTCAAGTGCTCGGTAAATTATCACTTCGCCTTCGTACTGCTCCCGCTGTATAATTTCATCCCTAATTTTCGTTGGTATTTTAGGATCGGGAGATCGCTCTTTCACTTTTTGATTCGACATTTTCCCTTTACCTTGTGCTTTTGGTCCACTAGGCTTTGAGTTTTCAACTGCCTCCTTTTCTATTTCATCAGGATAGACGTCAATTCGTGTTTGGTTTGGAACCGGAGGGAGCATAATTGACTCAATGGGATAACGGGAAAACTGGCAATATTTTTTGCGTCTTGACTTACCTCTTTCGACGTACTCTTTCTGCTCACCCGTTAACATCAGATGGGTCTCTGTCGTGTTGCCACGATTGTCATCGGCGGATGTTCCTGCTTGTGTACATGTTCCTGCCAGTTCAGAAGTAGTGTCTGCCGGTTCAGAAGATATTGCTGCCGGATCAGAAGATGTTGCTGCCGGATCAGAATATGTTGCTGCCGGATCAGAATATGTTGCTGCCGGATCAGAAGATGTTGCTGCCGGTTCAAAAGATGTTGCTGCTGGTTCAGAAGATGACGCTGCCGGTTCAGAAGATGTTGCTGCCGGTTCAAAAGATGTTGCTGCCGGATCAGAAGATGTTGCTGCCGGTTCAGAAGATGTTGCTGCCGCTTCAAAAGATGTTGCTGCCGATTCAGAAGGTATTGCTGCGGGATCAGAAGATGTTGCTGCTGGATCAGAAGATGTTGCTGCCGGATCAGATGTTGCTGCCAGATCAGAAGATGTTGCTGCCTGTTCAGAAGATGTTGCTGCCGGTTCAGAAGATGTTGCTGCCGGATCAGAAGATGTTGCTGCCGGATCAGAAGACGTTGCTGCCAGATCAGAAGATGTTGCTGCCGGTTCAGAAGATGTTGCTGCCGCTTCAGAAGATGTTGCTGCCGGTTCAAAAGATGTTGCTGCCGATTCAGAAGGTATTGCTGCGGGATCAGAAGATGTTGCTGCCGGATCATAAGATGTTGCTGCCGGCTCAGAAGATGTTGCTGCCGGTTCAAAAGATGTTGCTGCCGAATCAGAAGATGTTGCTGCCGGATCAGAAGATGTGGCTGCCGGATCAGAAGATGTTGCTGCCGGTTCAGAAGATGTTTCTGCCGGTTCAGAAGATATTGCTGCCGGTTCAAAAAATGTTCCAGCTGGATCCGAAGATGTTCCTGCTTCTTTGGAAGATGTTATTGGCCTTGCTTTGGTATCCATTGGCCAATAAATCTGGGGGAAACGAAATGGCTGACAAAAAAGAGACTAGGGCACTGGAATATTTCTGTTTGGTAATTCAATTTTAGAAATTTGTGAGAAAAGTATCAATTGAGGTGAACAGAAACAAAAGTTTAAACGTTTTGCACGCTCATTTTTCAAGGCGGTGATAAAACAAAAACTATGTATTTTAGTTTACAGCATATATTTGGTTCTACAGCATTGAGTTTTGTACCATCACAAACCAGACAAAGTAAGCTCAACAAAAAAGCCTCTCAAGAAAAGTCCAGTTTTGGCTCGCACTCTATTGAAAACCGAGATAAACATGTTTTATGACTGGTCCTCATAACCATAGCAGAGCATGACGTCGAATAATATTAGTGACTCAGCTAACTTCACTGCACATTGTGAGGCATGCTTTTTATTCTGAGTCAACTTCGAAACAACGATTTATTTTTGTAGAAAAATTGATAAAAAAGCGTTTTGATGCAAGTTAACTCTCGGTTATTTCTGTTGTGGCAACGAAAAAAATTGCTAGCCTTCTTTTCATAGTAAATTTTTCTTCTGTATTCCTCAATGCTTTGATTTAGCTGCCTCTAAATTTGAAGAACAACCGTTAGTTTTTGAAATGAAGCAACTAATTTATGACAGGGTAGTTTTTGTTGCAATATTTGTAAAATTTGTCTATTAGTAGAGTTCTGTAATTACTCCGAGACCTTTTTTGATTTAATGCGGCCCAATTATTTTTAGTTAAATGAAACTTTTCGATAAGCTAATTTCGATCAATTGCAATTTCAACACTTTGTTTGTTTTGGTTTCTCAAAATACATTTTTTTAAATCAACCATAGTTATAGAAGAGTGTCAAAAATTCCTACTTGCTTCACGTTTTATGCAAAAAACCGCAAGCAAAACTGACAGACTGCTTTAAAAAAAATCCCATGGGTCTGGGGGTGGACGCAGTGCCTGCGCATCGTTTCATCGCCACGAGACCGCCTGGTGTTTTCATAAACAGCTCACTTCTCGGTTTTTAGATTCCAATTTCAAGTTGGGTTGATTCCAATTTCAATTGCATCTAGATATTTGAATACGTCAGAAAAGAAATATTCCAAGAAAGAGTTGAAAACGCTCGCAGTCGTATGCTCAAATGATCGATTCAAACAATACCTATTGGGTGAAGAACTTATAACAGCAATTGATCATACGGCACTAATATCGGCTTCAGAAGCAAATGTTATTGAGAACATTTTGAATATTTTTTAGCGAAAAATTTTCTCGATTAGTGAGCAAACTTTCTCCGTATAACAAAGAAGTATCAAAAACAGTAACATATTTTAAAAAATCGGATCAGCAATCAGCCTGTTTTGTTTCAAAACAAAACAGTGAGCATTAAGATCGTTTTATCTGAGAGTATCCTGACAGCCATCCACAACAAAGACCTTGACAGCACCCAAATAGAGAATTTCAAGTTCTTTTAATTTTTCTAAATTAAGTTTTTTTATATAAAAAAAAACCTAAAAAAAAATTATGAAAAAATCCCCATATCTCGGATATCAAAAAGATTTGAGCAGTCATCATTGGAGGGCAGACTTTCAACCCGTGAGAATATTCTGAGAGCACATCACTTTAGCATGCATACTTTCAAGTTCTTCTAGTTTGTTTTTAAACTAAGTTTTTAGAGCAAAAAGTCGGCAATTCTCAGAAATTAAAATGATTTGTGGAGTCAGTTTTGGACACAAGTCCTGAAACACCTGAAAGTATTCTGGAACCCCTCGAATCCTGCAATCCCTCAAATTTCCTTCTAGTTTAAAACAGGATTGCAAAAATCAATTTTTGTTAACTTGAAATCTGTTTTTTGAAAAATTTTGAAAAAACCAGTATATCTCGCAAGCTTAAAAAATTTCGGCATTCATATTTTGAGGCCAAATTTGCAACAACTGAGAGAAACTTGGCAGCACCCCGTCATAGAGTTGTTGAATTCAAATTGGGTGAATTAAAAGCCGAAACAAAAAAATGCCCTCATACAATGTATAGATGGATGAATATCACCTTTAAACTGCCCTATACTGCACTACCTTTCTCCTCCCCTCCAATGCTGGCACCATATACACAGACTTAAATTGTGCCTTTCAAATAGCCTAGCACTCATAAAGAGGAACACCGAAAAATTTCCTAAGTATTGCGATATACGATATAGCTCAAAAGTACAAACTTTCGTTCGTTTCAGAAAACTTAAACGTCAAACATATGGTATGGCTGGAACATGGGGGGAGATAGTGCCAGAATCATTCCATTACATAATAGATGATACACATTTGCACATTTTGCTTCATTGAAGGATATATTCCGCTCTATGTCTTGATGAAACAATTCTTCTCGTCTTAACTTGATGACTACTCCGCTAAACCTTGCAATAGATATTAAATTTGTATATATTAACAAATATAGCTGGTTACTGTGCAATTAGCACAGAACGTTCTGACCATAGTCTTTTAGAAAACTACAAGATAGAGCTTTTTTCAAATTAATTTTTCTATGTTGGGAGATAAAAAGAGTCTGATGTAAAACTATATTTTAGGCATATTTTCCAATTTTTTTGAAGTTTTTGGTTCCGAGATTGGAGCTACAAAACTCCAACAATTAATTTTACTTTCTTCAAGTTAAATTTTTAGGTCTTAAAATTTAAATTTCTCCTAATTAAGCTATTGTAAGCCTGCTCGCTTGCTTTGAAAAATTTCAAACCGGAATGACGACTAATAGGGGCTTTAATATGATAGATCACTCAACCCAGTCCAACGATTGTGGTAGCTGGTTTTGCGGTGAAAAAAAAAACGAAAAAACTAAACTACACCCGAATACAAAGTCATCCCCATTTTCAATGGTCGGAACAACATTGCCGTTTCTCACATAAATAACAATACCTCCATTGCTTTGGTATTTAAGCATTTCTCTCTATCTCTCTCTCTCTCTCTCTCTCTCTCTCTCTCTCTCTCTTTGATGGAACTATTATGCCAACGTGAATCTTTGTTTCCGCATTCTTTGATTAGTGCTGAGTCAATCATTAAATATTTCATTTCTGGCGCAACTGATCTGGCAGTAAACAGAGGCGAAGTTGCACTTCGCATACACAAGCAAAAATATGACCGACAACGCTACTGGGAAAAACTGAATGATTAAATTTTTGAGTCTACATAATTTCTTAAGTGACGCACGCCAATTATGAGTCCACATAATTGCTAAGTGACGCAAGCCAATTATGACACATTAGCAGTACCAGTCAATTTGAAAATTACCAACTAACATGCCTCAATTTATAGAGCGGACGCATTTAAACTAGTATACGAAAAAACTCATTAAAAACATGCTACCCTGCTTGTGTTTGAACTCCCTTATTTTGCCGCATGTCTCCTTCCCTACCTCTACGCTACAGAACCATAACACCTTGAAGCTGAAGTGCTATTTGTAATACAATAGAGTGTGTTAATATCCTTAGCATTTGCTGTACTTAATTGCTGGTTATTGATCTTATGCATATACTGCAATAAAAGAGCACTTTCAAAAAGAGCACTAATATTTGCAACTTAGGATGGAAAGAAGGTGAGCTCGTAATATTACACAAGCTTTGCTTGAGTAAAAACGTTGAGCATATTAAACCAAAAAAAAATGAAAATGTTTTGCACACAGCAGTGAAAATGTTTTGCACACAAGAAATGTTCTATGTTATCAAAGACCAAATCTTCATGTAAGTTTTGAAAAAATTAATTACAAACGGATGTTCTGCTTCATTAGAAACATAACGTAAGTAACCCAGTTCAGTTTGGATTTCAACCAAAAAATCATGAGTGGATGAGCTTTTTAAATTAAACGACATTCAGCTGAAAACAAACACTATGACTTATCTATATCGTTGAGTTAAAAAAACTTTCGAAACAGTGAATCATAAGCGACAGTTGGAAAAGCTGATGATTTTTTTGAAATTCTAAAATCTTACTCGAAAATCGTGAACTGTTTGATCATGCGAATGAACAATCAGTCATCGAAAATTGAACATAAGTTACAAAAAGTTCATTGCTATTGGAACCTGATCTAAACTATATTTTATGATTGGATAAATTAAATGTTTTACCAATGTAAGGTATTTAATATTAACCAATCATGATCCATCTAACTAACAACCCACTTATTTGTAAGTGCTGAAGTTACTTGTAATTTCAGCACCAGAGAGATTTGAATTTAACTTAGAAATTAGTTGGACTCTCCCGAGCACTTCAGCAGCCGCAATAAACCAGTATACCCTAGATCTATTGAGCCTAGCAGAGACTAGTTAAACAACCTGAGACTAGATAGTATAAGAGTAAGATTAGGATCGGTATTAGACTAAGAAGTTGCACGAATCTATCCGGCCGAAAATAAGATAGCGTGACGAGCAGACGGTGTACCCTATCCGAAATTACTCTATGAGTTATACACCCCAGTCCTAACTCATCTGGTGCGACCATAAGTCTCGAACAAGACCTTACTAGATTAGAATTAACCAAAATAGATTAGAAATTAGACAAAAACATTTACAAAATGTTATACGACAATAATTTAATTGAAATGTCTCTCCGACTCAATAGATCAGAGCCAATATTCCGAACCATAACAGAACTACCCGGAATTGGAAGAAGACCTCGAACCAAAGACGACATACGACAAAGTAGAAACTTGCCGTATAGTTATATGATAGTTCGGCAAAAGCCAGAACAAACTTTTATATTTCGAATATTACTTGCAATGAATTTAGATTTCCATTTGCAAACATAAAACCTTGAAGTTACTCTTCAAAATCATTTCAGGCGCTAAACAAAATTATTAATATACAATAACGATTGATAAAAAGATCTAAGATCGTTTTCCTAAAACTCTGCAGTATTATACAAAACATGTTTGAAAAATATTTATTGGAAAATAAAAATAAAAATTAGTAGCATGACAATAAATGGTTAGTAATCATAAATCATCCTGTTGTTCCAGCTCCATCACCTAAAACATAACAGCAATCATCAACTCACTAATATCATCAAAACACTAAATCTTTCCTTTACACAAATTTAAAACTTTATTAAAACTTAAAGACACTTAATTTAAAATCAGATCATCAAGGCTTATCCTTGGATCTTAAATCATTTTCTACTTAATTAAATTTCAAACTTGATCATCAAGGCTTATCCTTGGATCAAACAGAACAACTTTGTTCTCCCCCA